CGCTGTGCTGCGCCGATGAACCGGCCCCAGGGCTGGGCTTTACCTGCCAGGTGTCATCTCCGAGAGCTACTTGTTCCCAAGGGGTCCCGTGGGAAAAAAAGTATTTGATTCTGTTTAGCATTGTCAGAACAGAAGAGCAGAGCTTGGTGCAGCTTTAAAAAAAAATGCCTAGAAAGCTCCAATCCCAAGAACTGCAGGTGCTGCCAAGATGTGTGGTAAACATCGGGCCAGTCCTGGAGAGCATCAAGTTAATTCAGACAAAGTGCCAAATCCCGATGGAAAAGGTACAGGCGCGCTCCATAGACGTGGCTGGGATCCTGGAGAGCAGCTCTCCTGGTGGGGGAGGCTCTGCAGAGGGGTGGAAAGGTCCCTGTTCTTGTTTGTCACTGCTGGGGCTGGAATCTGGCCTGCAGTTTTGGCGCTGTTAAGATTTGCAGAGTTAATTCTTGTTGTAGTTGATAATCTGTAGCAAATAAACTGACACATGTCATTGCTGCCATTCTAAATTAAGGATGTCTTGAAAATAATGTGAAAACTAAATCCTACTCCTGCCTTCTTTTCAGGGAAGGGGCAAAAAGATCCTCACATCTAAATAGCTGCTAATGATCTAATGGCAGCTTTTTGTTTCTATCAGTTGTGCCTATTATAACAGACAAAATTATTGTAGTGCAGAAATGCATGAACCTGGCTCCCAAGAAGGTGTTAAGGATAGGGAGGGACAGCTAAAACATGTTGGTGTTTAATGACTGAAGATGCAAGCTGCAGAAATTTGCATACTTTGGAAAACACTTAGAAGCTGTTGAAGGTTTGGTCTCTCTTCCATGTTATCTGTATAGCTGTGTTGGTAGCTATATTTATGTGGGCAGGAATCTTGTTGTAGCTGAGGTTGTGCTGGTAGGGAATTAGTCATGTTACAGTGACAAAACCTTTTCCTGTGATAGAGGAGGAGCCACCCAGTGGGAATGCAGCTGATATCCATGGAGCGGCTGCATTTAGAAAGCATTTTTCTGTATTTCAAAGATGATCTTGTAGACAGGAACTAAATTTGGCACATCAGGTGTTCAAAAAGAAATGTCATGCAATTCAGAAAGATACTTAGTTTGGGGTATCTTTAGGAAAAAAAAATAATAAAAAATCTTCTATATAGTTCATTCTAACTGTACTTGCTAAAGCTTGATGGCAGGAGGGCATGTGCATGGAAAAAATGTTACCACACCTATCATTTCTTGCTGGGGTGTACCTGATCAGGGAAGGGTTTATACCTTAAAGGACATTGAACTGTTTTGTTCTGGCAACTGAAGGATTTTGCCAGCTGCACCACCCTGGAAGAAATGGGCCTTTCATGGATATCTCTGGAATTGGCCGTGTGTTCCAGTTGGTCATGGGTGCTGCTGGTGGAACTGGGATTATCAGTTCGGTAGAGCAGGGCTTCAGCCTTGCTGCAGTGCAGATCCCAACAGGCTTATTTATCTTAGCTGCCTGTTATTAATTAATTCTCGGGAGTAATTCCCAGGTATCTAGGAGTCGATGGGCCCTTGTCCAAAGTTTGTGCTCTACAGTGGCTCTAGGTAGGGGCAAGAGAAGTCTGTATTAGCCCTCTCACCACTCTTCAGGATAACAGAGGAGGAAGATTTTGCTCTTAGATGCTATTTCTCGAAAGCACTGACCTTTCTCTCTTCAGATGGACTTTTTTTTTTGGTCACATATCTCAAAGGTGACTGAGAAGTGGCTGACCCTGGAGCTGGCAGGCTCCGTGCTCCTGGAAAGTGGAGGAAAAGAGGATGTTTCCAGGGGCTGTGGCCTTCAGAACACAAAGGAAATCTTATCTTGCAGCAAAGGGGATGGAAGTGGGACTTCAGTTTTCATGGTGCCCCATTCTGTAGTCTTTCAGTTCTCTGATGAGTTGTTAAAGCTCCTGAACCTTTTACCACTCACCTCTCTTTACCACTGCCATTCCCAAAGAAAGAAAAATTTGGAATAGAATTTGGATGTAGCAATATAAGGTGGCAAAGATGAATTATGTGCAGAGAAAAGCTCATCCATGTATCGCTGCTTTTGTGATCTTCAGGAAAAGTGTATAGGGAAACTTAGAGAAAATAATCCATTTATATTAACTCTGCCTTTTCTTAAAAAATGGCTGAGTTGTTCTGTGATTTTTATTTATATATATATTTTTTTCTTTGAATTCCTGCATGACTGGTAGCTTTAGAGTAGAGTTATTTGGAGGTCTTTTATCTGACAGTATCCCCGCTGAGTCTCTGTGAGCGTGTAGATGCCTGGTCGAGATTCCTGTGTGATATTTTTGTAGGGTTTTGGTTGAAATTCTTTGTACCAGTGCTTAGCAACTCGTGTGGCATATGCCTTTAGATTTAAGCACAAATTAGTTCTTCTGGTGCCTTAATGCGCCTAACAGTACGTTAAATTTTCTTATTAAATGAAAATGGCAGCACATAAATGTTAAATGTATGTTAAAAAAATGTCCCCAAAGACGACCATTCTGTCTGCAAGAGGATCCTTGACATGTTTGGCATTCACTCAGTTATGCCAAATGTTGCTCTAGACTGCTTGCCAAATTAAAAAAAAAAAAAATCTTGTTACAGGCTACGCTTAGTTACACATTTTCCTCCAATATTGTCATGCAACAGAATTGTTTCCATAATTTACATGGCAAGGAAGTATTTTGAATGTATCTGTTGACAAATTTCAGGAATATTTGCTGATACATTGTAAGCAGGCCTGTTTAAACTGTATTATCCATCCCTTTCACCTGAATTTACTCCTCTCGCTTCTGTGACAGATCACTGGGTTTTATTTTCAGCTCCTTTTTAGGTTTGTCTCTTTCTTCTCTCTCTCCTTTGCTGCATATGTGTTAACATCTTTTATGGGCTTTTGTTTTTGTCTCCTATAGATCTGTTTGGTTTTTGTTTTTTTATTTCAGTTGGTCTTCTCTCATCTCCAACTGCATAAAGAAAGGATGCCTCTCTTTGCCCATTTTGGTATTGCATTTTGCTAACCTTTATTTTTTTTTTGCCTGTGACTAGATCTGCATGCGTGTTTATGTAAAAAGATTTTTATAATTGTCTCTCTCTACTAATGCTTCCTCTATTTTGTGGTATATTTTAAACAGCTTTTCTGCTGCTGCAAGGCCACCAGAAAGCAGGGGCTCAGCTGCTGATCACTGTGGGGCATGGCTCATTTCAGAAACTAATGATCTGCATTAAGAGAAGTAGTTATCTGCTGAGGGGAAACTGGGCTATTTCCTGCCTGGTAGATGTCTCCCAAACAGCAGAGCTCTTGGTGCTAGGGGCAGAAAACAGGCTTTTTTTTTTTTCTTTTTTTTCTCTAGTTTGATTGCTTTCTCAACTTGAAACAACTGGCTCTTGATCTGCTGTAGTGCAAGGACTCGGGGGTCTGTGCTGATTAGAAGCAACTGCTGCTGTTACCAGCTGACTTGGGAGCCTTAACAAAACAGAGGTTTTGTGCCTTGAGCTCTGCCATGGTAGTGATTTTGTTGGACCTTTGGGAGTAGATTCGTGTTTCTTGAAAGGTTTATCCAAGTTTTAAGTACCTATTGGGAAATTCAATGGATTTCCCCAGGGATTGGGGCTATTCAGGGTGGTCATAAATAACTGGGTAGTGTAGATGTGCAATGTCTTGCTGATAGGAAGCCACTCAGGAAAAGTACAGACAGGTAATAAAACAGAAGACATAATTCAATGTAGATAAATGCGGTATAACTCAGAATAGATAAATGTACAATTTCATATATGAAAGGATAGGTTGACCCTTAAACTAAGGAATGAAATAATTCCGCAAGAGTCAGTTCAGTAGTGATCAAAAAGCAGATCAAATGTTAAGTAATATTAGAAAGGCAAGAGAGGACGAACCAGAACATAATTGTGAACGGTATAAATCAGTGGTTCTCCCACTTTCTGAATTTTCTGTGTAGCTCTTGTCTGTTCATCTTGAGAGATTTAATAGGGTTGGAAGAGCCTCAAAGAGAAGCATGAGGATGGTCAGTGATGTGGCCAGTGAAGTGAGTGGGATCTCAGCCTGGAGAAGATGCAGCTGAAATGATATGTGTTAAATATCTGCTGAATCAGTGGCATGGGCAGATGGAGAAGAATAGGCTGTTTTCCTCATGTGCAAGAATAAAGGAGCACCAAAGGAAACTAGTAAGATCTCAGAGCAAAAACAGAGCTGGTGCTTTGGTGTAACAATTAACAGCAGTGTGGAGTTCCTCACTGAAGGATGTGGGTGTAAGAGGAAAATGGGATCTGTTTGTGGGAAAGAAATCGATTGAGAGTTATTAAATACAGAGAAACTGCCTGCAGCTTAGGAATCTCTGAGCTTTGAGTGGCTTGAATATTGGGGCAAGTGCATGTTAAGTGCCATGTTCTTGTTACTCCCAATTAGTCACTGTTAATTTTAAAAGGAATCTTCTGCATCTTTAAACTTATGTTCATATTAATCCTCTCCCCGACATCATTCTCCAGTGCCTTGGAGAATGAAGCTTTGCCAAACTGTGGCTCTTTTGCTTATGAAAGAAGCTCTGCATGAGGGTTTAAACATGTTTTCTCTTAGGTGCAGCAGCTTGGCCTGCAAGAAGTTTGCCTTAACTTTCCCCAGTATCAGTTTAGGGAAGAACTTGGGTACTTCAGAGGCATCAGGGCAGGCTGCCTCCTTGGTATGAGGATTTGAAGTATGTTTATTTTGTTCTTTTTTGTCTTTGCTTTGTGACCCGTTTATAGTCTGTGTAAAAGGTGAGACAGGTAGAGGCTGAAGTCTTGTCTTTTGATAAGACCTGTATCAAAAGGAAGGTATTCAGGTAGCTCACATCTGCATGGGCCCAAATCATTAAAACGATAACTGCTGGCAGGTGCAGCCATCTAGGCATTTGTTATGGCTTGGGTGAAACAAGTATAGAATTTGTTTCAGAGTTCTTGCTCGAAATATTTTTTTCAGTGAATTTCACTTTATTTTACCTTATTTTTCAGCAAAATGTCTGGAGCTGATGATTTCTCGGTAAGTAGTAATTTTGCTTTCCTGAAGATCAGCTGGTTGTGTTACTGTGTTCTAAAAGTTGACACTCCTTTTCAAGGAATGGGGTTTAAAGTTAACCAGCTGTTCCCTTTTGGAGTTCCACTTTTGGGTAGATGTGAGAGTCTATGGGCTGCATTTATGAAGCTGCTGCGAGCCCTGAGGCTTCTTTTCTACTTCAGCGTCAACAGAGCACAGGAGTCATATTTTAATATAGAAATATTTTCTTTGGATCTGCACACACATTTTCACAGCTGTGTGGTAGGTCACCTTTTATCTTTGGCTTGCTATCTGCAGCATGTCAGAATCTCTTCTATTCCGATGGCAGAAGCTGCACGAAAGCAAACGTGATCATCTTGCTGTGCCTTAACTAGGAGTTGTTTTTCCTCCCCTTTTGGTAGCGGTAACAAACGCGGTGGGTGGATGTGCATCCGGCAAGCCCCGGGGCCGCTCACCTTTCCCTGCTGCTCTGTTTTCCAGCTGGCAGATGCTTTACCCGATCAGTCACCTGCTAAAACCTCCAAAGTGAGCAGCACGAAGCCTGGCCAGCAGCCTAGCCAGCCACCCCAGGGCTGGCCAGCTTCAAATCCCTGGAATAACCCGAGCGCTCCTCCTCCTGGGCCCTCCGGACTGCCCCCAAGCACCTCTGCTTCCAGCGTGCCCTTCGGACCGCCGCCAACGGGAATGTATCCTTCAATGCCCCCCGGACCGCCTGCTCCATTTCCTCCTCCTCCTACTGGACCCTCCTGCCCTCCTCCTGGTGGTCCATATCCACCCCCAACTGTGCCAGGCCCTGTCCCACCAGGGCAATATCCTCCGCCAAATATGCCCTTTCCAGAGCTTCCACGACCTTACGGTGCTCCAACAGAGCCAGCTGCACCTCCGGCTCCCGTCGGGCCGTGGGGATCCATGCCCTCTGGAGCATGGGGACCAACAATGGGAGGGCAGTATCCTGCGCCCAGCATGCCATATCCACCCCCAGGGCCATATTCCACTCCTACCCAGACTCCAGGGGCTGCGCCGACAGTGCCATGGGGTACCGTCCCGCCTGGATCATGGGGACCTTCGCCACCAGGTCCGTTTCCTCCGCCCACAGGATCCTATCCAGCTCCAGGACTATATCCTACGCCCCCTAATCCTTTTCAAGTGCCATCTGGTCCTGCTGGTGCTCCATCAATGCCTGGTGGTCCCCATGTGAGTATTTAATTTGCCTCGAGTTTTCCTCAAATGTTAGGCATTTAAGTGTGGGAGTTCAGTAGTGTAAGACCTATTAAAGCAGGTAAGGACTTCCAGCACATCTATTATTTGTGTAGTCAGTGGTAGGGTAGGAAATTTTCCACCCAAATGCGTAAATATGCCAGAATGATCAAGTTATATCAAATTTTAGTGTGTCCAAGCATCACACTGTAGCAGCCTCCCACTAGCTTGAAAGGCATCTCTGAACTGCAAAAAAAGGATGTGTGAGTGTGTGTTTGTGTGAAAAGAGCTTCTAGTAATTTCTGAAATAGAAAATAGCAAGTATTCTCGTCTCTGCAGTGTAGAGTTCCCTTCCAGGGCATAGGAAGGGAATGACACATTGAAAGGATGAATTAGCTGTATTAAGAATACTTGTAACTGTGAATTAACTGCTTTGTGTAAACGCAATAGTGACTGTGAATTATTGTCTCTTGCAGCCTTACCGTTGAATACATTCTGGGCAACAAAGTACTGTAGCTTTCCACCTTCATCCACTACTTAGAGATTTTTACAATTTTTGTTTCAGTAATGTTTGGGGCTATGAAGAACACTTGCCTCTTGTATGTGCATTTAAGGTATGAAGGAGCAATTTGCATAACTTTAACTTGCTCATATGCTGGCATAATTGTTTGTTTAGTAAAGTGAATTATGAAGAGCAGAAATACAACTAAAACCTGCGATTCTTACACTGGCAAGTATTCCCCTTTGAAAAAATGGGAATTGCCAAGTAAGGATTGTTTAAGAAAGAAAAAAAAAAATCAGGCCCAAGGACATACAAGTTGTTAATTCTTATACTGCCATGAATGCTTTAAGTTTTGTTGCCAGACTTGTGCTGGTCACTGGATGGATGGATAGTCATATTTTGTCTATTTTCAGGTTATTCGAAAATGTCAATAAAAAGTGTATTTCAAGATTCTTGTCAAGAAATGTAATTTTTTGAACATGCTACAGTAATTCAAACTAAAGAGACGGAACACGTGAACTTGAAGGTTTTCTCAGCATTTTGTATATACTCAAAACAATTGCTCAGTCTGGGACTACAGCAGAGAAGATGCGCAGTGAAATGCTTGGTCTGACTTGTCTGCACACTGCTCGCATTCCCAAACAGGCATTTATGTGCAGATAAAATACCTGGATGTGCAGTTAACTTTGAATCAACAAACGTGAGTTTTATGCATGCAAATGAGGGCATCATTTTGCGAGTTCTCATTCCGTGGTGGTTGGAAGTTTGGCTTGGTCTGTGTAAAGAAAAACCGATTCTCACTTAAGGAAGGTACTTCCCTATTTCTAACCTGGATTCTAGTCAGTGAAAATTGGACTTTCCTGCTGGGTTGGGTAAACTCGGCAAACTTGCAGAGTTCCTGGAAACTGAACTTGAGCTTAAAAGGATCTTTTTTTTAGAAAAAAGAAAAAGAAAATAAGTCTGTCAGTTCCCTTCCCCGCAGCTATTGGTACTTGCATTTAGTTCTCTGGGCTGCAAAGATCCTTTGCGTCGTCGTTCCGTCCGCGGCTGGAAGGAGCGAGTCTGCCCGGGGCTCCGCCGGACGCGGTGGCAGGAGACGTCCTCGTCCTCGGCTCCGTGTCGCGCGTGGGGCCACTTGAGCGAGTTGAACTGAGCGGGGTCCGGAGCGTGTCGGCCCGAGCTCTGCCGTGGAGCTGCCCTCTTCTCCCGGGCACTGCACTACGTTTGCATATTCTGGCCATACCTGTGCAAAGAGTACGTCAGGGGCTTGCTGCAATGCTGGCTTTGCGTCACCAGCACGTAAACCCGGGTATCAGGGAGGAGTTCTGGAGTTCTCTGTGGTACTTCAGCCCATCCTTTGACCATGGAGAGTTTATTTCCTCCTCAGCTGAGGAGAGCCCAACTTGGCCTCTGTGGGTAGAATCAGAAAGCAACTTTGCTTAACGTGGTAGCTCGCTAGGGAATCTCGTATCATGGAACTGTGAAAAGCAAGTTAATTCTCTTCCCACATCTTATCACGGCTTCCTGCGTGCATATTAGGGACTTGTTAAACAAGTGGGGTGACCTGCTGGCGATGCTTCTCTTGGCCTTCATGGCAAAGTCCTGCAATATATATATATTTCAGCAGAAAGTTCAGCCTAGCTGTGGCTGTTTTAATCTGTTGCCATGAAAACTGATGGCAAAGGTACTTTTTTTGTGTGTTAGGAAGACAAGAGCCGAGATGAACAAAGAAAATGCAACACCTCAGCTTAAATCCTGGTGTTTGTGCCCCTAGAAATCAGAACATGGAAAACATGTAGGAATCTTCATGAACCTCAACCAAGGCCCCCTCCTCCCAAAGAACAGGCTTGGCTTAGATCTTGGCAAGGCTGATAAAAACCAACGTGATAGACACTGGCCACATCTGCTCAAGTGCTTTTTTTTTTTTTTTTTTTTGGATACCTGCAGCCTTAGTTGATAAATCAGTGTAATGGAAAAACTTTTATTCCAAATGAAGGGATCATGTAGTCGCAGCACTCCAGGCCGAAATTGCACTGGTCGTTGTCTTTGCAGGGAATAGGAAGAGGTAGAAAAGGGTAGGGTGGACATAGCAAATAATGAATTTTGGAAAGGGGTTTGTAAAAGTAACTAGACTTCTAGGTTCTTCCTGAAATAGGCGGGATTTATTACTGGAACGGTTAGGCTAAAATTCAATATATATGGGATGTTTTTTCAATGTATATTCGTATTTCTTGAGGTCATGAGAACTGTTTCATAACCCCTTTGTTTTTGTGAGC